CACGCTGGGAATTTCTCACCCAGAGCAGCATTTCCCTCTGTTTACCCTGGAGGACAGTGATTTCCCACAGCCATAACCTCCTCCTCATGCCCAGCACAAATTGAATAATCACCTTGGGCAGGGCTCTGCCAGTCCCTCATTCCTGCACGGTGACGGATGGATGATGCCAAGGACTCTGTGCAGAACCACAAAACATTGCTCTGCCAGGGCACTGGCCTGCATTTGCAGTACCTTAGGGCAGTTTCTTGCTCTGATGCGAGGCTTAAGACAAGGCTCTCCTCTTTTCTTCCTGCCTGTTGGAAGAGATTGGACAAGAGATTGCAGTGCTGTCCCTTGCTGGATTGATGTGCCTCTCCTTTCTGCCCACAGCCCAGGTGCTCCAGAGCAGCTTCACCCGGGAGGTGCCAGTGTCCTCCTCCCGGGAGGTGCCAGTGTCCTCTTCCTGCTCCACCGAGGTCCCTGCAGGGCACTGAGCTGCCTGGAGCTGCTGTCCCCTCTCCCTGCACACACCTGGCTGCCACCCTGACCCACAGCCGAGTCCCTTCTGTCCCGGGCTGTCCCCCAGGCCTCGGCAGGGCTGGTGTGACCAGAGGCACTGAGCTGCTCTCGGTGGCACAGCGGTGGCACTGCTCAGCCCATCCCGTGCCAGCGCCCTGCTCAGACCCCAGCCCACGGCAGAGTTTGGTGCAGGAAGCAGAGCTGGGGCTGCTGTGGTGCTGGAAGGCTGCAGAGAATTCACCATGCTCTGAGCACTGGGCTTTGTTCTCCTTTTATTTTTTTAAACCGTCATTCTCATTCCAGCTCCATTTTGCTCCCATCCTCCAGCATGTTGTAGCTTTAGGGCTCTTTTCTTAAAATAAAAAAAAAGTTATTGCTAAATAGATGGAGCTTTAAAAATTTATTTTTTTTTTGTATGTAAATCTTGAAGTTAAATCAGAGCTTTGGCTGGGAAATACCACTGGGGACTATCTCAGCCTGATGCTCAGCAGGGAAGTGATCTCTGGACTATTCATTCTTACAAAGACTTTGCCAAACTCATGGTAAAATCTTTTCCTTCAAAAAATGTGCAATTAATTTGAAATGATTGGTTTTTTAGATGCTACTTTTAAAAAAAAAGTGAACATATTAAAAAAACCCCAGTCTAGAGCATTTGGACAAAATTATGGACAGTTTAAAAAATTAAACCAATTCCACAATTGATAGCTTTTATTTCTAAAATATTTAAGTTTTCAAAAACTGTCGACATACATGAATATTCGTTCATAGTTTAATTATTTCTGGATACAGGTTTAACATTTCTAGGCTGCATCTTGCATAGCTTTGCTTAAAATTATGACGGGTGAGTACACTTGGTACTCTAGGATAAAATTAACAAATACCCCCCTCCAAATATTTAAAAACAAATCGGAATATGGTTCTTCGTTTGATTTACCCGGTTCCAGCGGAGCTTGGTGCGAGACTGAGCAGCACATTCGTTTACAACGTTTTAAAACATTCGTTAAAATATTTATTTAACAGTTTAAAACAAAGTCTTAGAGCCTGCAAACGTGCCCAGGTCAGGGAAATACATGTGGATAATTGGGCTGAACGATTTAGAAGCAGAGAATCTCTTGCATTTCAAACCATATTTCCAATACCCCCTTCGTGCATCTATTTTAGGCAGATGCTTAAGATTAAAGGGCTGCACGTCAGCCCGTATCTTACCCACGCTTCCTTGTCATCGTTTCTTTGCGATTAAATTTTGTGTTTTCCTTTCAGCCTAGAAGTGTTTGGTACCAGTCTCTTGGCAAAAGAGCCTGAGGAATGGAAGGGTAAAGAAATATGACCCAGCTGCTATGCACAATGAGGTTTGTAAGTCCTTGTATGGTATAAATAAGCATATTACACAGTTATTAGAAATTTGGCACTGTCGCTGTTTAGAAGCAAGACTCTGATGCTGTGTAATTCCTCCCGAGTCCACGCATAACTCAGTATCAGCCTTCCATTCTTCCAGCCTTGTTATTGGCCAAATTCGGCAACTTTTTCTCAGTGCTCATCCATTCAAACCCCTCTCAGCAGTGTAAACCGGTGAGTTTCCCCTCAAGTCAGCAAATCGATGCCAACCCACGCGGCCGAGGCTCGCTCCTGCCTTTCCCTCGCCTCGCTCGGGGCTCTGAGCCGCCGCCGTCGGGGCCGCGCGGTGCCGTCGGGTGCGGGCTCGGGCTTCGCTTCTCCCCTCGTCGCCGTCGTGGTTGGCAGCTTTTCCTGGGGGGGAAGAGAAGCAGGTTTTCTTCGGGGGAAGAAGAGCCTCGGGAAGGGGCAGCGGCTGGAAGAGCGCTGGAGCATCCCGCGGGACGGATCCCACTCGGGTTTCCCCGGCCCGCGGACTGAGTGTAACTCCGGAGAAAAGCGACAGTAAACTTTTATTAATCGCCGGTGTTTAGGGCCAAGGCTTGAGCGAGCTCGGTGACAGTGATGAGTGGTTTGGAGCGCTGGTCCCTGAGAGCGGGGCTTTTCCTCCCACCGCTCCCTCGGCTCGGCGTTGATGAGCCGTGAATAGGAGCCACCCTGCCGTCGGGGATCCGGCCGTTTATCTGCCGGGTGATGACAGTCGGGCTGCTTTCGCCTCGCCGTCAATCGCCGCAGCCTTCGGGAAGCGCACGGAGCTGCCGCAGCCGGGGGCTCCGTCCGAGGAGGACGTTTCACCCCTCGGTGACACATTTCACCGTGCTGGCCCCGTCCCCCTGCTCGGGGGATGAGGAAATCTGTGCAATCCCGGAGGAACCGACCCCGGTTCCAGCAGGTGCTGCCCGGGCTCGGGGCACGGGGAGCCGAGCGCGGCCGGGCTCGACCGGGCCCGCACGGCGGGGAACGGGCCCGACCCCTCCGCTCCTGCAGCCCCGACGGGAAATGCGGCTGGAAGGAGGCCTGAGAGTCTCTGGATTTGCTTTAATTAAATCCTCCCCACCTAGGATTACCCCTCCGCCCTTTTGTTGTTGTTGTTCAAGGGGGAAAACTGCATTTAAGGTCGGGAAGGCGCAGGCAGCGGCCCGCTGAACCCTTGCCGCGATTGCGGGGGGAAGAAGGGCTGAAGGGAGACCCCTCCGGACAAAGCCGAGCCCCCGCTCCCGGCTGCAGAGTCACACCAGAATTCACCTTGCCGTGGAGCCCGGCCCTCGGCAGCCTCCCCGGTCCCGCAGCCCGCGGGGAGAGCCCGGCCCGGGGCTGGGCACCGGCGGCGGGACCGAGCGGTCCGAGCGAGGGGCGCGGGGCTGGGGCTCGGGCCGGGCCCGTAGCTCGGAGGCGGCCGCGGGGAACCCAGCGGGGCAGGTCAGCGGCGGGAGCCCTGGCTGAGCCGGGCCTCTCGCTGCCCCGCGCCGGGACGGCTCCTCACCCTTCGCCCCTTCTCCGTCGCCGCCCGGTCCGTGCGGGGACAGGGCGGTCGCGGGTCCCCTCACGCCCCGGCCCTGTCGGGCCCGCTCTCACCTGCCCCATCCCGCTGGCTCCCGCGAGTTCCGCTCGCCTCGCATCTCCCGGCCCGCACGGCTCCTTTTTTTTTTCTTTATTTATTTTTTTTATTTCGCTCCTTTCCTTTTTTTCTTTTCTTTTTTTTTTTCCTCTTTTTTTTCCTTTTTTTTTTTTTTTGGTAGGAGTGGGGAAAAGGTTCATTACGAGGTTGACCCCACTTTACTTTTTATTCTGCTCCTGTTCCCAATTTCGGCACCACGTGACGGTGGGAGTGAGTTTGGGTTTAAATTCACTTTCAAGAAAACCCCGATAAGACCCCTGCCCCGCGCAGCCCCGCCGGCCCATGGCGGGGTCCCTGTGAGCCCGGCGCTGCGGGAGCGAGCGGCGCCTCGGCGCCCGCCCGGGACCCCCGGCTCGGGTAAGGGCGCGGACGGGATGCTCAGGGGCTCGGGGAAGCGCAGAGCCTGGTGCTGTCGCGACATAGCGCGGGACACAGAGGCGGAGCTGTCGCGACAGGCCAGCGTACAGGGGGTAGCGCACGGCGGCCTGGGCGCGGCTGGGATGTGAGGGGCGGCTGAGCGCAGGGAGGGCAGCGCCGCGGGGCTCTGCGTGTGTGGCTTGGTAATCGCGACAGCCGAGCTGGAGCGGCCCTCTGAGTCGCGACAGCACTCGGGAGCTCTCCCGCAAGGATTCCCCTCCTGATCTGGGGGTTTAGCGTGGCGGTGGGAGCCCCGAGCGGGCGGTGCCCGTGCCGCAGGGTGAGGGAGCTCCAGCGGCTGGTGTCAGGGGCCGCTTCCCTTGCCGCCCTCACCTCGGGGCGGCCCTGACGGCCTGGCCTGGCCGTCGCTTTGTTGTGGCCGCCCAGCTCCTGCCTGCCTTGTGGAAAGGCTCAGGGTTCTCTGTCGCGACATGGAGAGGAGGGAGAGCCCTGTCCTCGTCCCCGGGCGCGCAGGGAGATCTGCAACTGAAGGCAGGCCGCAGGCCGGCGGATGTGGAGGCTTTGGTTGCAGTGCAGGGTCAGGGAACCCCACGGGGGTTGTGGGCCCCTCCTGAGGTGGGACCCCTCCCCAGGCGTGATCCCGGCTCTTCCCCATCACCTCTCCCGGGCTACCCCGGCTCCCGCCGCGGGGTCTCGCCGAGCCGGGTGCCCTTCCAAGCGCGGCCTATGCCCTCCGCTGCAGCCCCGGCCTTGCCCGGCTCCACGGCGGGCAGCGGGGAGCCCCAGGACCGTCGGGGCTGTGAGGGGGCGGTGGTGCCGAGGATGTCCCCTCTCCCCGGGCTCCTCCCGGAGCAACGAGCGGCTCCGCTCGCCGCCAGGCCCGGCGCAGCGCCGAGGCAGGCCGGGGAAGGCCGCGGCCGGGTGCGGTGCGCGGGAGCCGGGGAGCCGGCCGGGCCGGGCCGGGCGGAGCGGGCCAGAGTCGGTGTAAGGGGATGTGATTGACAGCGGCAACGTCAGCAACAGGAGGGGAAGGAAAAGGGAGGGGGGGGGAGACAAAGAGGGAGGGAGTCGAAAGGCCCCAAACTGGATCTTTATGGAACATTTTCCGCCGAGATCAAGGGAAAGTGAATCCGCGCAGCGGGGGATGCTCCGCACGCCGCTGCCATCGGGGGCCGCGGAGCCGCTCCCGGCCTGAGCACCCCGCGGATGCCCTTCATGCCGCAGCCGCCCCCAGGCCAAGCCCGGAGCCCCCCGCTGCGCCTCCTGCCCCTCGGCCGGCCGTGTGAGTTCCCGGGGTGCGGGGGGAAGGACGGGAGGGAGCGGGGGGTCCCGGCGTGCGGAGCTCCCCGCAGCCCGCCGAGCCCCGGCCTGGGGCGGGCACCGCCGCCAGCCTGCCCCGCTGCTCCCTGCTGCTCCCCGGCAGCCAACCTGCTCCGTACCGGCAGCACCGGTCCCGGTCCGGGGCTGGAGCCTTGCCCTCGGGCTTCGCCGCGGACCCCTCCCTCCCACCTGTGCCCTCCCGGTCACCCGGCTCCGCTCTGCCGTGGGACGCCGGGACACATCCGCGCCTCGGCTGGGGCCGCCTCGTCCTGACACCCCGAGGCGGGCGGAGGGAGCGGTGGAGTTCTGGGGGCAGTGAGTCCCGTACCGTGCTCCCCGCTCGGTGCTCCCTGTCCCGAGGGCTGCGGCTGGTCACTGGGGTATGTGTGTCCGCTCGCACACAGCCGGGCTGGCTGTCCGGCTCCTCGGCGGGAGCTCTCCCTGCAATTCTGGTGCGAGCTGGGAGTCCCAGCCCCGCTCCCACCGGAGCTCTGCTGGAGCTGCAGTTTGGGGTGCCAGCCCCGCTCTCACCGGAGCTCTGCTGGAGCTGCAGTTTGGGCTCCCAGCCCCTCTCTCCCCCTGCACAGCCGCTGTCCCGAAGAGCGGCTGGGCCTTGGCGGCTCGGGGCAGGGAGCGGGGCTGCGGGCCGGCCTCAGGAGCGTTCTCTCGGGGGCCGCAGGTCCGCGGTCAGCGCCGGTTTCGGTCCCCGGGACCGGCACCCCGCAGCCCCCTCGGAGCTGCTCCCCCTCCGCTGCCCGTCCGTCTGTCTGTCCGTCAAGCGGGGCGGGCGGCCGCGTCCCTCCGCGCTGTAAAAGTCGGCGTTGATGCGCGGCAGCCCCGGCGGAGCTGTCAGGCCTTATCTTTATTGGCTTTTCCCAGTCTCCGTCCAAGTTTAAGAGGGGCCCTTTTATCTCGGAGCCCAGCACTCCCCCTGTTTACACCGTCCGGCTCCGCCGCAGCGCTTCGTCGCGGAGCCCCCGCAGCCCCGACGGGACGGGGCAGCGAGACCGACCGGGCCGGGCTGCCCTCCCCGACGCGTACCGGAGAGGAGAAAGAATCGGGGCTGGGGGCCTGCGGCCACATCAGACGTGAGCTGCCCTGGCCTCAAGCGGGAGCACAGCCACGCGTGGGCGGCTCCCGCGGGGGCCGGCGGGCCCGGCCCGGCTCTTCCCCCGGGGCCCACGGTGTCACATCCCGGTGTCGCCGCCCGAGGAGCGACCACGGGCCGGGCCGGGCGGGCCTGAGCTCGCAAGTGGCTGTGCTGGGCTAGGGGCAGGGGTTGGACGTGGCCCCCGGTGCCTCGAGCTAACACTGCGCCTCTCTCCCCCAAGGAAATGCTCCAGGAGAAAAGCCTGTCTGAAACCGAGGAAGGGTTTCCAACAGCCCCCGCGCCCGGCCATGCGGACACCTCCGCCGGCTCCCCCGTCCTCGGCGTAGCCGGGGGGAGCAGCACGCCGCTCAGCAGCCCGCAGCTCCCCGACCCCGAGCAGGTACGCTCCGTCCGGCCCCGCTGCGCCTCACCCGCCGCCAGCCCGGCCCGCCGCCGCGCATCACCCCCGGCTTCGACACGGGGAGGGATTGCGGGGAAAGCTCCTTTTTCTTCACTTTTCTTTGGGTTTATTTTTTATTGTTATAATTTTATTTTCGCTGTCCGCAGCCGTGCCCCGCCGTCGGTGCGAATCCGGGCACTGAAAGCCGCGGCCGGCAGGGCCCGACCCGTGGCGGAGCCGCCGCCGCTGCTCCCGGGGCTGCGGCCCGGCGGGGAATTCACTGGGGGTTTTCCATCCCTGAATAAAACGCGGCTTCTGTGCCTTCACTCCGCGCACGGATGCGATGTCCCCGGCATCCCGCGGAACGCACAAAGCACAACCCTGGATGTGGATGCGTTGTCCCCGCGGCTGCTCCTGGCCCCGGTTTTTGGGAGGCTTAGGGCGAGTCTACCCCAACAGACTTTTTTTTTTATCCCTAGGAAAAAGAAAAAAAAAAAGAAAAAAATTTCCATTTAGCCGCAGTGTCCTGCCTGGTTGTGAAAGTCTGCAATTAAAACCGGCCTCCGTTTGTTTCTCTTATTTTTGGCAAAGGACAGGGGAATTTTTGAGACTCCATCCTCCTCCCGCACAGGCTGGTGGCTTCGCTCTGAGCCTCGGCCCTGAGTGTCCCCAGCCCCAGCCCTTCCCAGCCCTCCTCGCAGGTTTTCTCCATCGTTTCTTGCTGTTCTCATGATCTTAATTTTTTTACAGACAATAGAAAATATCAAAGTCTATCTCCATGAGAAGGAGCTATGGAAGAAATTTCATGAAGCTGGCACGGAAATGATAATAACCAAAGCAGGCAGGTTAGTGAAAATTCCCTGCAAACATGTATTGCTTCTGATCTCTGTGAAATGTCCTCTTTGCTAAGACTGGGTTTTGCAGAGCTGGTACAGTCAGTAGGATTTAAAAAATATTATTGTGATTGCAAATTTCAGTAAGATAATTTTTTCAGTGTAAACTGTACATGTGTTTGAGTATGGCAGTTGGAATGTAAATGCAAGAAAATGTTGTGGAGTCGTTTGGAGCATTTAGTCCCGATTCTCTCTGGTAATGTTTTCTTTTTGTTTTTTTTAAATTATTTTTAATTAGGAAATTAGCATAATTATGGCGTTTTGGGTTTTTTTTCCCCCACAAAGCAAATCCCCTTTCCTTTTCTGTGCCGTGCACTAAGACGTGTGCTGGGACCAAAGTTTTCACAGTACGAAAGTTCTTTTAACCTCAAAACTGAAAGAGAAACGGGTACCACTTTTGGGTTTAAAAAAATAATCTGTTTTCCCTTGGAAACAAATAATTACTTTTATCAAAAGAAAGCCCCCTCAGTGTGCACACCCAGGGAGGGAGCCCAGAGCCTCACCGAGGCTTCGGTTGCCCAGAGAACTCAGCCCTGCCTCTGCTCAGGGCTCCTGTCCTGCCCGGGCTGCTCTAGTGGGAGATGGCAGAATTAATGTCAGAAAATTACGAGTCAGAATTAAACCTCAGACCATCACCGGCTTGGGAATCAGCTAATTCCCAGGAAAATTAGCCGGGTGTCACTGTGGGCACCAAAGTATCTGCCCTTGGCTTCTGCGGCAGCGGGCTCAGCTCGCTGCTGCTGCTGGGAAGGAAAAATCGAGGCATTAACATTAACTCCAGCACGGCTGAGTGCTTCTGCCCTGCCCTCCCATTGCTTGTTTTACACCGTGCTAGCGAGCTGTGCAGCCAGACACTCAAATAACGGGAGAAAACAGAGAAAAAAACCCCACGAATAATTTCTATGCAGTATTTATTTCGCTGTGGTCTCTGATCCTTCGTGCAGAGCAGCCGTGGGTGCTCATGGAGTGTGTGTGTGACTTTTCTCCCCTGTTTGCTGCTCACGGTGTGAGACCCAGAACCCAACCCTCGGCACTGGATTTTTGGGGTTGATGAGCTCTTTCCCTCTGCTTTCCTCCATCCCAGCAGTGCTGCTCTGTGCAGCAGCTGCTCGTTGTAGGCAAGTTGGACTCTAATAAGCCAGAAATTCCTATTATTCCCCTTGGAGAGGGGATGTCTGTCCCAGGAATCTTCAATTTATTTGCTATGTGGCTGTTTATGGAGTGATGGTGCAGGTAACTCTGTCCTTTTCACACCTTATTTTGGCATATAAAACCTCAGGGCTTGTTCTGCAGCGTCTGCTGATGGGAAGAGCCGGGTTCATTTGGATGGGTCTGCTCCCTAAGTCAGCTCAGATGAGGGGATCAAGACCTCAGATATTTCACCCTTAATTTATAGTATCTGAGTGTGCCTGTGGAGACGTGTAATATCTGTACCAAATTCTAGACCCTAAGCATCCCAAACGTGCACGTTATCTCTCTGTAAGCCTTAACGTGGCTTGTTTAAACAGCTCCATATGGACAGGGCTCAGTCCCACATTCCTTGTCCGGTGGAGCTGGCAGTGCACCTTTCAGGAGGTAGGATGAGGGATAGACCACGAGATGTACAAAAATTTGGGTTTTTTACTTTATCTGAGCCAAATTCTCCGTTGGCGAAATTCAGTGCAGCGCCATCGAGCTAAAAGAATTATTTCTTTTTTTTTACGAGTTTTCAATTTTAAAAAATTATGAAAGAAGTGGCTGAAATGCTGATGAATAACACAGAACAAAAGAACTTTTTTTTTCACTGGGTTCAGCTGCAAATGGTGTCAAAATACAGGACGAGGGCTTTTATCGGTGTTTTTAGCAGGAGGCACAGCCCCACAGCCCCCGCTCGGTTCCCTGCCCGGGCTGGGCTCTGCCTCAGCCCCGACAGCAAAAATACACAAAATAATTAGCATGAGAACGGCCGAAAAATCGAACACTTAAATCCCCGAGTTCACAGCGGTGCCACGCGTGGCCGTGCTGAGGGCAGGGCAGCCCACGAGCTGCAGTCTGCTCTAATCCCCATGCAAAGGACAAAATGAAAATTATTACTTCATGCAGATTTTATTTTACCCAGGCTATTTAAATAGAGAGTCGCAATAATAAACCTCCTCTTGAGCCAATTAAAAAAACGGTGGTTAATGGAGATTTGTGTGCACTTGCATTTGGCATTGGGGGGGTGTGGAAGGAGGGAAAGCGGCTAATTGCAGGCACTAATCAGGACTCTAATCCCCCTCCCAGCAGGCACAGAGATGCCCCTGAATGCCGTTAGTTGAAATCACTTAAATGTAGGTCTGTCTGACCTCAAGGGGCACAAACGAAAAGAAATGGAAGCCTGATTTTTAAATTTCAGACAACAACAACAAAAAAACCGAGTGACTTTAATGACAAGTTCACTCAATGGAGAGGAAATGTAAAGCTCAGCGGAAGCGTTAATTCCATGGCAATGGTGTAAAATAGCTTTTTTTGTATAAACAAGGCAAATATTGATAACTTGGTTGGGGGGGAAAGGGGGAGTCATTTGTTTCGTTCTTTGTAGAGCTCCACAGAACGAGCCAACTATAAATTACCGAGAATTTAGGGCTGAGAATTACTTTAGGGGATTATTACTCCCTCTTAGGACTGATCTGTAGGAGATATTAGGAGAACACAGCAAGCTCAGCATTGAAATAGAAATCATGTTGTTGCCAAGAAAGTTTGATTTATAAAGTGGAAACATCTTTAAAATGCACTCGCTATCTTTTTAATGTCCGACTGCTTCATTGTGGGAGGGGAAAAAAAAGATTATTTTATATTAAAAGGATCATCAAAAGATAAAAAGTTTATGTTAGCAAAGTTCCCTGAACTTTGGAGTAAAGCGCTCGGATCCTCAGAGCGCCCGCGGGAAGGGCGCCGGCTCCATCACTCAGAGCCTTCCTCTCCTTCCTCCTCTTCGAGGTTTGCTCTAATTACGGATTTCTCCTCCGGAGCATTTTCTGGTGATGGTTTTAAAGGGCTGAAAGATTGTCCCGTCCTTCCCCGGCGCTGCCCGGAGCGCTGGGTACCCACGGACCGGAGGGGAACGAGAGGAAAAGCGGCCACTGATCCCTCCAGGCTCTGCCCATCCCGAGGGCGTTTTGCAGGGCAGGATTTTCGGGAGGCAGAGGGAATCCCGCTGTTTGAGCAGCCGCTCTCCGCTCCCGCTCCCGGTCCCCGATTGCCGTCCCTGGTTCCCGGTCCCGTTCCCATTCCCGGTTCCCGGTCCCCGCTGCAGCATCCCCGTTCCCATCCCTGCTCACAGCGCGGCTTTCCAGGGATGGGGGGAATGAATCCAGCACCCACAGCGAGCTGTGAGTGCCTGGTTTTGGAAATGATTGTTCACAAACCTTCCCGCGTGTGTGTATTTATATATATGTGTGTGTTAAAACAAACAAAAACTCCTCCAAAACCAAACCACCCAACCAAAAAAATCCCTTCCCCCAGAAAAAATACTGAACCAAAAAATACCCTAAAAACCTCCACCGAAAAGTTCCAGTCGGTGAGATCCTGTTAAATCAAATTAATCAATCAGTCTAGACGCTAATGAAGGGCACAGGGTGTGTTAGGGGATGCAGATGCAGCTGCACATCTGGATTCCTCCCCTCTGGCCGCGCTGCTGTGGGGCATCGCTCTGTCCTGGCAGGGTGCACACCTTTCCTGCCCGATTTTAGGAATTCCACACTTGTGGAATTGTACCAGGGGTGGGGAAAGCAGAAAGCAAATGAGGGACTTTGTTATAAATCTGGCTTTCCCATTTCATCCTCTCGCTTTTATGTGCTATTATTTGACTGAACAATTGTAGATTCTTTTGTAGCTCGTGGCAAACCATTCTTTGTGAAATCTCGTCTTTGGGACTTTATTTCTGCTGGAAGTTAATCTTTGCTTCCACAGCTTTCCTGGCTCAGGATTTCTTCTTTCTGTTAGATTATTTATTTAGCTGTTTCCTAGGGTTTTTTCCCAAGGTGCCAGTCTTTGCAGCATTGTAATTTCTATCCAGGTATTGCCAGGGATAAACAATTTGATAAAGCTTTTGTTTCATCAGGAAAAAATGCCAGTTCATAGGATGTCTGGTCACATTTTTGTGAGCAGTTCCCTAAGAGAAAATAAGGTGTCATTTCTCTGTGGTAGCAGAACTGTCCCTGAGGTGTAACAGGAGGCTCTAGATACTGAATTTGAGTTTTGGCTGGAGTGCAGGGTGTGCACAGGTACAAAGCCAGCTCTGGTCTCCATGGTAGCAGGTTTTAAGAAGCATATGTAGGAAAATGCTGCAGAGGAAAAAAACAGAATCGATAAAGCATCTTGCATGTGTGGAAAAGACACAAATCCCCTTTAGATGTTCAAGTTTCATTTTAAAAGTGGCTTATTTCAGTAAAAAAGAAAAAAAATCTGTTCCTAATCAACTTTAGTAAACCAAAATAAAACTAGTTTTTAGGACATCAAGGTCTGAAGAAGTATAAATGCTTTGGCTAAGCTGGTGCAGCTTTCCTGTGTGAATAATCCTTTAAAAGTTAAATTTTCCATGGCTCTGTAGGGCATATGGATGCCCAGTTCTCATTACAATTAAAGGGAAATATTTGTCCAGAATCTTTTGAGGCAGTTACAAGAATTTCTGCTGATGGTTTTTGATCCAAAAGCAAACCTTAATATCCGAGATCAACGAAGGAATGTGAGCCGTCAATTTAAAACATAGAAATAAAATAGATATTTGAGGAATGTTTGATCTGCTTGCTCCTAAATTTGGGGTCCTGGAATTATCCTGCTCAGGCAAACTTCTGCTTTTAGAGAAAAAGCAGGAGTGAGCTCCAATGGCTCTTGCTGTGCTGCTAAAGTTGTGGACAGCTTTGGCAGGGGGGACAGAGCTTGTGCACGCCGAGGAGGGCAGGGATGGGAGTCTGGTTCAGATTCACTTCTCT